AAATGTGGTCGTATCTCGATACCTTTACATCTCATCGCCTCGAATATCGCGAAGCACAGTTTCTCTCTACCCAGCTTCAAACCGATCTGCCCTACATCGGTCAATGCTTGTCGACTGCAGCTGGAATCAACAAAATCGTTCGCGTACCTAATAATATTCTGAATCGACACGTTTAATGTCACTAATTCGTTCATAAAGCTATTTACAAGACTCCGCGCGATATCCTTCGTCGCGTCGTTCATCGTGAGATAATTTATGACAATGTGAGCGTCCGCGACCTGATCAGCACGTATCAGTTCCACGATCATCTTGGAGATTTCAGACTCAATCGTTGGTTCTGAAGTCATTAGAAAGTTCAAGATAACCGGGATATGCCGGCTGTTGTTGGACATGTTCAGAATCTTTATTATCCTCAAAAGATTCGCGTTGTCCTGCGGCTCATCGTTTAATATTTTTACCAGATTTGGAATATCGCCGAGTTTCGCATATCTACAAGCCAGTTCGGTATATGCCTTGGCCGTAGGCAGTTTCGCCTCCTGCATTAGTGTTATCATTTGCTCGACTTCGGCAACATTATTCTTAACAGTGCAAATCTGTACTAATGTATCGATCGCCTTCTCAGAGATAGTTACATTCTTATCTTTTATAACAGACAAGATGTGCCACAAGTGTTCGCTGTTGCCCGCCTTTATGATTGCATTTAATAGCAGGCCATAGGTATTCCCATCTGGTTCTACACTCATGCTCGCTAAGAACTTCGTCAGATTTACAGATTTGGAATCCTCCTCGTCGACACCCAGCAGAGTGTTGTAATACTCCAATATCAGTGCCTCGCCGCTCTTTTTTGCCAAATGCCATACCTGTGCGTTAAAGTTATTTATAATAAATAATCTTTCCCCTTTCTGCTTCAGTTACAATACTACTCTTAGTTTGTTTCTATTTTTTTCACTGTTCCTATATTAAGGCAGCCTTAAGTAATGTTTCAAGACACTAACATGGCTCTGTGA